TTTAATGAAACGAAAATTATTTAAAATTTATTTCTAGTAAGTTAATCGTCTCTCGAATCAAGATACTGTAATGTAAATATAAATAATTGAAATGTCACACAAACAAATTTGAATGAGTTAAAGTTAAAAATTATTTTGACGACAACTCGTAAATTGAATTATAATTCTGACAGTTTTTAACATTTTCCCATTTTTTCAATCCTTGTTTTACATTTAGAAATGTACACGTGAAACGTGCACGTTTTTTCTTTCAAGCAGATGTAGTAACCGATTATTTAATATTTCAAGCAAGCGCATGTTTGCTGTATAGTTTTTTAAACGTGTATGTACAAACGTATTCCAATAAATAGTTTACTGTCCCTCTTTTTCTCTTGATGAAAGAACTGATGATTATTTTTTATATTGTGTAGTAATTAAATAATTCTCGTAATAAGAATGGAAATTAATAAAATATAGATAGCATATCTTCTTAATGTTTCTCACAATAATTATTAACAAATAACTATTTAGTCTAATACAGGGAGGTATTCTGTGAGGGAATGTTCAGTTTCGTCAGAAATACGCCTTGATTGTTGTACAGATGAAGCTCACAGTTTTTCAAACTGTTGCCGTCGACAGATCCGACGATCACGGCCCCATCCTCGTAGACTATGCATATCTTCCGTCGCAGCTCCACGCCATGCCTCTCACCACAGACTTGTTGCGATTGTTTATCATCTCCTCGTACCACGAGCCCTTATACAGCATCCAAACGATAATGACTCCGTTCTGATCGCTCGACGTCAGCTTCTGATGCTCCTCGTTCCACGTCACTACTTGAACGTGTCCGTTGTGACCCTCCAACGGCTGATTCATGCTCAGGTTGCTCGCTGCGGCCAAGCCACGAGATTTCCCGCCGCTGTACGACCCATTGACGGTGGAATCTACTCGTAACACCTTCAAGAGACCATCTTCTCCTCCCACGGCAATGTATCCGTCCTTCTGATTCCATGCTATGCAGTTTAATCGAAAGTTGTTTGGTATGGAGATCTTCTTGCTGAGATAAACGAACATGCTGTTGCTGTTGGTTTATGTCAGTCGCCCTGGGATTGTCTCACAGAATTGGCGAAAAGCTCTGAAATCAAAGTATTTGATTTATGATCACCTACTCTGTGAGGTTGACAGGATGAAAAATTCTAATCAAACGAGTGATTTACGGGTCAAAAGTTAAGAATTAAAAGGCACGTATTCATAACCTAACAAGATAATTTACAGACAAAAGGTGAAAGGTCACATTTTCATAAAATAAAAATTTTATTCTATATCGCTCCACATGACGCGGCAGCAAGAAAGCAAATACCGTGTTTTATCGTGGAAAGTAACATTCGCGGTTAACTATCAAAGCTGTCAGGCTCTTGATATAAA